TGTAATCCAAGTTGATAGGAAAAATGAAAGCAAAACAGTCAAAGCAAAATTGACTCGAAAAACTAGTTTGAATCCAGGAAATTTGGCTCGATTTATTCCAAGGAGTCGATCAAATTTTTCTAGATATTTTAGGCGCGTTTGTTCACTAAGCAGCATCTTCAATCACAACAGATGTCAGAGCTTTAACAATTTTCACTGTTGATTGAAAAAAGTGAAACACTAAGATTAACAGTTGGAGTAATAAATAATTGGCAGTAGCATGCAACTTTAAACACTAGGCACTGATTAACATGAATTTAGCTAAAATAATGACTAACAATTAGTGTAGTAGACTTTTGTTCAAGGCGCTTCAACTCCCTCTGATTTCTCTGTCTCTCTCTGTCTTTATTTTTTTCAATCACGTTCCCAATTGATGTATCTATGTTATAATACAGTTTTGTGATAATGATGAAAACTGTCAATGAAGTCAAGTTTACATTGTAAGTGATGAGAAAAGAGACAGAGACACAAGATAAAGAAAATTGTTTTTTACAAATAGAAGTGGATTTTGGTCTGAGAATGGCGATCTAGGAATTCAGGTGATGTCTGCGTGATTTACAAACGTTCAGATGAAAAATACAAGTGTGGAAATGATTATCAAAAGTTATCCGATTTGACTTACCGTTTCCGCCAAAATTACACATGCAATTTCAATGAAAAATGCAGCAAAATACAAAAACAAAATGAACAATAACGACGTTTGTTATCCGGGACCTAAAGCTGTTATCAATTCATCAACCTATTTATCTGTGAGTGATACCAAAGAGAAACACAGTTGAAAGACCACAAAAGAGGTGACATTAATATTTGAAACCATTTTTGGCTCACTAGATTGAAGATTTACAGTTTCAATAAAAATAAAACAAAGGTAAGCTTGAACCGGTGAATAGTCAGTTAAAAACCGTTAGGTCTTTTTCAAAATGTTTATGACACTTTTAATTGGGTGGTGTATAGATAGCATTTTTAGGTATCATGATTACCTGGTAAGTGTTACTTTTATTATCTTTTTCATTGGTTGCAAATCAATGTATCTAATACATATTTTAACAGACGCCGGATAAACTTTTATCTTAATTACCACTTGATTATAAAGTCTTAAAAATTTTTACAAAATCTTATATTATTGAATTGACTATGGCCGTTTTAGGAACTTATGCAAACTG